TTTTTTGAACCTTAAACCGCATAAACACATTTCATTACACCAAATAATGTTCTTTTTAGCAGCATCATGACCCCTTTAAAAAATAAAATAAATATTTTTCTTCTCTGCATTTCTCCTCTGCTTTGCTTGCTTGCTTCCAAATCTAGCTGTCTAATAACCCTGGCATACTATAAATATTGTTGGCTCTGTGACAAATTGCTTTTGTTCTTCTATTGTAGGTTACTTTGGATAAAAGCATCTGCTAAATGCATAACTGTAATAGTACTGGTAAAAACACAGAATCCCTTTCCACACATCCATCCAGTAAATGTATACACTGATCTTTATATCAACAGACATTCATTGTGTGGGCCAGGGTTCCCATTAACCTGAGAATTTGTGCTCATGTTCCCATATCCCTCAGTGTTTCTGTATAGTGAGCTTCTAACAAGAGAGCTTTTCCACTGTATTGCAGAATGATGTGTCAAATATCAGTGACGGCATCTTCCATCCACTTCAAGTAATGCTGACTTCCATCGTCGATAGGAAAACTGATGATTTCTGGAATGTCATATGGATGCACAGCTCTGAGGGAACACATATAAGTCCCAGTTAAAATAATGTATTTGAACACTATAATAACAAGGGAATAAATGCAAATGAAACACCTATACTGTTCTGAAATGTAAGCTATCTTTCAAAAGTATGGGGTCAGTAGGATTTTTTAAAAAGACAATACTTTTATTTAGCTTTTTTTTTTTTTCTCAAATAAATGCTGTTTTTGCTTCTATTCTCTGTATATTAATGTTTCACAATTAGGAGTGTCGCGATATACTGGTATTGACGATAACCGTGATATTCAAATCATGAAATATCGACATCGTGTTAATTTAGGGTGTGACGATATACCGGTATTGGTGATAACCATGATATTTAAAATGAACAGGACACTTATGATAACACGACACGCAAATAGCCTACTCCAGCGCCAGTACCTGGTTGACCTCCCAGGTCGCAGTATTGAGCCTTAACACTGACACCTGTCACACAAGAAGACGCAGCGCGCGGCCGCACTACTCCAAGAAGAACCAATAATATCCATGCTGCGGGTCTGCAGATGAATATATCTCAGAAGAACCATGATAACACGACACGCAAATAGCCTACTCCAGCGCCAGTACCTGGTTGACCTCCCCGGTGGCAGTATTGCGCCTTAATGCTGACACCTGTCACACAAGAAGAGGACGCAGCGCGCGGCCGCACTACTCCGAGAAGAACCAATAGTATCCATGCTGCGGGTCTGCAGATGAATATATCTCAGAAGAACCATGTTCAATATTATCCAGACAGTAAGTTGCCATTATTTTACTAGTCATTGAATGGGAAATGTTACATTAACCTGTTAACAGCGGTTTCCTGTTTTCATATATTTAAATAAAAGGGTGATTCTTTTAATAAGTACCGCGTTTTCTTTACTCGTCTAATTTTTGTATTTGTATTTGCAATCAAGTCATGTAAAGGTGGTCGCAGTGCCATGCACTTAATGCCTCATCTGCAGTCGTTCTGGGTGCACATTAATACTGAATTAGAAGCACGTTAACTGCATGACTTCATTGGCGCCGGCGCAACTATAGGTTAAAGAGATTAAAATATGGGTACGCAAGTTAACAGGTTAAAGTATCAGATTTGATGTTAATATTTATTCATTATACTGTTGAACTTGACAGTATTTTCTCTCTTGTTATTTCATAGGGAGCTTCAAAGAAGACAGAGAAAGTCAGAGTCTCAGGTCAGCTGTGACCTGAAGAAGAAGTGAAAATGCATGTGCCCTGTGTTTATCAGTATCCTTATGTTCATTGGGTAAAAAGAAAAACTAAATAAACAAAGTAAAAATTAATTTGGCTGATTCCCTAAGGTTTCTATAGATATCGCGATATATCGACACAATAACCGTGGTGTGAAAAATCTAATATCGTGACAACCCTATTCACAATATTCCTCTGCATTTTTTTGTTCAAATAAATGCAGACAAATGCAGGAAGTAAAAGAAAGTAAAATTGTCACTCAAAGTATGTGAGGTAAGAGGTACATCATCTTTTGACCTGCTTACAGGTACCACAAAGAGAGCATTTTGTTAGATCCACACAATTTTCTTCAGACTGGGATGCTTTGTTGTCATGGAAACTATTATACCAGACGAGAAAGTCTTATACAACGGTCACTAAATTTGTTTCATATATCAGCCAATTTGATTTTGAACCCTGGATTAGTGATGCATCACTATATGTGGTGAATAACACTACATGCACTATACATTGTCTATATATTCAAACATTTAACTGTGCATGTTGGGTGAATATGTAGCATATGATAAGAAATGTATTTACTTTATATAAGTCACAAGTCTCTGCACCAGAGATGTTCTTGTCCTCACAAGCTGAAAAATAAAGGAAATCATTAATTTAGTATACATAGCATAACCACAATAAGACATATAGACAATGTATAACTTCTCATTAAAGCATTATAAACATCTTTAAAAATAAGAACATTTGATTTGAATGGGAAATCTTAAGTTTGAATAAATATATCAACACACCAACAGTATTTCTGAGGTATCCCGTATCTCTCCTTTCCAGTAGTACCTGAAATCAATAAACAATTGATATTTTAGGTAAATTATATTTTGTAAACGCATACATGCATGTAATCCTTATTGGAACATTTTATATTTCTTTTTTTTTAATGTATATCTTACAGGAAATTAAAAGATAGTTAAGGTTTTTTCTGCTGTACATGCTGACCTGACGCAACACTCCAGTTCTACAGTCCAGACAAGGTTATCTTTATGTTGTTAACTTTATGTTGTTGCTAAAGTTACACTTCAGGCTGCAGTGTTTTGGATTCAGAGCTCATAATGGGTGAAAGGTTAAACTCGCTGGTCTTACATAGTGGTAGTGCGAGGAAATATATTCACGCATGCTGCCAGCCTTTTCTCCATGATGCTCCTAACAGAAAGAGAAAAAGAATTTAGCTTCTCTGTATTTGCATATGACTGCACCACAAGTCAAAGGCACTCTGTGCTCTTTCAAATGTATAGACACACACACAGCTCATCTGAATGCAAGTGTAATACCCTAGGGTCAAAATATAGTTTTAACAGTGGATTTCAATTCAATTTATCAGCAATGCAGCATATAACAAATGATACATTTAAAAAAAAAAAATACTATCTACTCAACTTTAAATTTGCCGAACAGGATCATACGCAGCAATGTACATTTGCTTTATTCCATGATTAAAAATCAGTATCAAGCATCCATTACTGACAGGGTGATTACCAGATTTTGATACCTCACTCAGAATGTTATCAGACTTACATACAAACACAAACAGCCTTGAATGGAAGCTTGTTTCCGCCACAAGAAACAGGAAATAAATAAAATAAAATTATGACTTTTTTTCATCACAATTCTGAGCTAATATCTTACAATTTGCACTTGGAGTTTTGTCTCATTCAGAACTGCTAAAAAAGTTTGAGTTGTAAGATATAAACTTTGTTAACTCGCAATTGTATTGCATTTACAATCATATCACTCAGAAGAAAAGCCTGACTAGTGAAATATAAACTATAGCAATTTGTGAAAAAAGTCATAATTGTGGGATAAAAAGTCGCAGTTATCTTTTTTTCTTTTTTATTCCATAGTGAAATAAAATAAGATGTAAATTCTGAGGGGGAAAAAATTCAAAATTGACAGATATAAACACATACTGCGAGAAAAGTCTGGATTCTGAGCTTATATCTTGCCATTCTGAGTTTATATCTTGCAATCCTGTGTTTATATCTAAAAATTCTCAGAACTGTGAGAAACAAAGTCAAAGAAATTGTGAGATAAACTCAGAATTGTGAGAAAAGTCACAATTACCTATTCATTGGCGGAAATAAGATTCCATACCCTTGAACCAAAAACTAGTTATATTTTCCATAAAAAGATACAGTAGTGGTTGGCTCAGGAATGTGGACTATGGTTGATTTGTGTCTTCCAGCTCAATGTTTGGCTTGTAGCACTTCTTAGTTTGGCTACATCCCTTAGTTGTGCTGCCATGGCCTAGTCAAATGAAAATTTACCTGCTGCCTCTCTCCTTTCCTGATGCATCTGCCATTGCCTCATACTACACCATGCTTATTATCCTCCCTTCCCTTTTTATTTCCTCAATCAACAGACCTACTGTATGCAGGATTCTTCTGACCATGGCAAGATATCATTCCATACTCCAGACCTAAAGAGTGCACTCTCAAAAGATCTCATTATTGTTTGCCTGCATTCCCGATTTATGGTTTATTAAACAAACTGTATGGATTATTACTCCTGGATCAGAAAGAAGCAAATGCACCTTCACACTTGTGTGGTTCTAAACCTCAAGAACCGCTGCACTTTGATAAGCTTATTAGTCTGGAGTGCACTCTAATGACTTATCCACTGTAAAGTGCTCTTTAACAAGAGTATAATGGGAAAATGAATCCTAATGCAACTGAGAGGGAATATGAAGTTCAGGTAGAGATGCTCTATGATATGATCCATGGTGAGGTTTTGCAAGTTCTGTAAAAATGATTGTGAAATGTTATGGACAGCATAGTAATTAAAGAAAATATAATAATAGTTTGCTGTAATTTATGTGCCCATAGAAACAAGACTGAACTGTATTTAATAATGCAGAGTACTATATTTTATAACTACATGCAGTATTATTTTGGTAATAAAAACAACCAGTCGGGCCCTAGAAACTTTGCATCTGATATTTGTCTTATTATTGCAATTAATTGTCTGTTGACACAAACCACATGGCATCCACAAAAACAAACACTGTACTTCAGTGGAACAATTGGTGCAGATTACTGTATTTATCCTGCTGCTGGCCATATAAAGGAAGCTGTCAAAATGGGAAAGCTATTTAAGAAGTATGTTTCTTAATTCCAGTTATATATTTCTGCAACTATGTGCAGTTTTGTCACTAAACATGCCAAGATGTACAACATTTCACAAAATGTTTAGTTCTGACCATTTTACATGTGAACCAAGTGTAGCCCACAGAACTGCAGTAGGTCCTGTCCTCAGTGAGGACAGAGCTAATTACATCCAAAACAACATTCATATTATATTGAACAAAGTTTTTAGCAGTCTCAAAGTGTTCAAGTAAAAAAAAATAAATAAAAATATTCCACCCAACTTTGTTCCTATTGTCACAAAAAGTGTGATTCTTTTAAACTCGTTTGATTATAGGCGTCATGAACTGCCTTTGTTTTTTATTTTGCACTGTTCTCTGTTATCATGATTTTACATAAAAAAAACATCATAATTTAGCAGTAATAAGCTATTTTCTGTCCTGTTTTGAGCCCCCTCATCAGAACGCTCTGTTTGAATAGGCGGTGTGGATTGTAGACTCGAAAGTAAATGCCCACTGCTACGATTGGCTAACAGTTGTGTATGTTTGACAACCTACATCCTTCACAGATGGGCGCTGCTGTGTTTTAGGTTAAAAAAGCATACTCAGTAGTCAGTACATATCAAACTATCTGTAATAACAGACAAAGCAATAGTAATCGGATAACGAAAACAGTTACTCACATTTGTGTTGCGACATTACTGTCATTTCCAATATAGTCGGCACAGCATCGTCTTTTAATTTCAATCTTTGAAAATCCTGAAAATCTTTCAGAAAATCCTGCTTTGAATTGTGCCTTGTTTGTAAACAAATCCGCAGTTAAATGAAGTGAACAAAGGACCAAGTTTTTACTGACGCAGTCTGGCACTTCATTATAAATAAAGTTAATTGTGTGGTTTCTGCTAGGGCTGCATGATAAATCGAAATGAAATCGTAATCGCGATTAGGCAAAAGCTACGATTGTCATGCGCATCTTGTCAGTGAAGCACGGTTCTGTGATCAGTAGTAAATCGGCCAGAGGGCGCTCTCGCACTGAAACTCCAAAAACGCCCCGCAGAAGAAACCCATTAAATCCCAATAGCAGTAGCTGAATAAACAGAAGATATAACTGCTTTCATTGATTCAACGTAACTAATAAACACACGACTATGACAATATATGGTTTATCTATCTGAGTTAGTCTTATTATAATTTTCATTATAATAAAGTATATAATAATGCAATGCTAATCGACATAGACTTTATCACTGCTTAGAATACTATGAAATATGTCGCGTGCCTTATTCTGTGTAAAAGAAGCCACATCATCTCACAGAAGGATTTATTTCAAACACTCGACTGACGTTATGAAGTGAGTTTGGAGTAAAAATATGTTATTAAATGTGATATTTTCACATGCTTTCAGATGGGGCAGCATTTACTACACAGAGCCGTAGTTCACTGAGAAGCTACGCAAACAGCCGTCATTATCGCTAACGATTTCATAATCGCACAATTATATCGTCTGTAATTTTTTTGCGTAGCTTGTCAGTGAACTACGGCTCTGTGTAGTAAATACTGCTCCATCTGAAAGCAGGTGATGGAGATTTACTATTGATTACAGAACCGGCTTTACTGACAAAATGCGCATGACAATCGCATTCGATTAATCGTGCAGCCCTAGATTCTGCGTATACCTGCGTTTGCCGCTCTTGTCATTTACCTACTACGTGCGCTAATTGGTGGGCGGGGCTAAACAGGCAGTGCTGTAGAAGCAGGCGTTGATCTTCTTCTGCAGAGGCAGGGTTTAGCCACACTATTACATCATAAAGTGGCACATTTTGACGCTTTGGCAGATTGGCTTCAATATAAGCTGTTTTTAGACTAACGAGAAAGTTTTGAGTTCTGAAACTTACAGAATGTTTTTATAGCACAATGACCTCTTATATATCAAAAGATCAAGGGAATTTTGATTTCTCAGTTCATGACCCCTTTAAAGAACAAGCAAGTGGGTATTTTGTGCACAAGATTTTTCTCATACATTCGGGCATCCAATAAAAGAAGAGATACCTCCTTTGTCAAACCTTTGTTTGTTAATGCATATTTTTTATGATTATGATAAAAAGATCCAGTTGATCGCTAAATAGGTTAAAAGACACCACTATACTGTGTGTAACAACAATAAACAGTGAAGTATTTGCTTACGTTAGTACTAGAAAGCACATCTGGGTTTTTAGTTTGTGGTCTAAAAGCTTCCCACATTCAGAAGCAGAAAAAAAAATTGTTAACTTCATCAGGGGAAAAAATTAATAGGTTAGCGTTCTCAAGTTCTGTCCTGGGGGATTTTGCCACTGTAAATCAGCTTCAGTTCAAAATAAACTAATATTTACATGTAACAGAATACCTTTATTGTACTGTATGTCACTGACTGTCACATGCAAGCTGTAAACATTACACACCCTTGTCACCTGTTGGCTGAAGGCAAAGTATGTCACTTATTAGCTACAATGAAGCTTATTCTTATTTCTAATCTTCTATATTTATTTCCTTGTGTGTGTGTATCACTGTATGCATGTACAATACCTGCCAATGTCTCTAGCGGTTTGTTCTGTGGGACAGTTGACAAGCAGCACAGAGTGATATCCTGCCACATAGCTTCCTGTGACAGCAGAGTGAATCTGAACACATAGTGTCTTCAGCACAGGGTACAGGGCACAAATCAGGACTAAAATCTATACATAAACACACACACAAATAGGGGGACAAAACAAAGAACATTAATACAGTTAAGTATGATGCACTAAAAAAAAAAAATCTGAATTTATTGACTATATATATCTGAATTAATAGAATGCATGTATCTTTTTAGGATATTTTCCAAGTGAAGATAAATAAAATGCAACAGGGTATGCATGTACTGTAACATTATTTTCCTGAATAGTTGTAATTAGCGTTACTGGAATAAATGGATGTAAATGGAGACGCATCTGCCAATAGTATACTGCTTTTTAGTCATTTTGGATAGTAATTTAATCAATTTAATTCCCATTCGTGCATGTACAGTATTAATGAGAATTTTAAGTCACGCATATACCCTATTTAGAATATCCTCTGAAATGTATTTTTATCTGCATTTTTTTATTCACTTTTATGTTACATACAGATATTTGAGAAAAGCCCAGTTATTAAAGAAACATTAGTGTGGAAGAGACTAAAACTTTATTTTTTTCTTTCTTAACAAAGTTATACGGATAGTTTTCCCCAAAATGGAAATTCAGTCATCATTTATGCTATTTCAGTCATACCTCAGACCTGCATGACTAACTTTCTTCTGTAGAACACAATGATATTTGGAAGATCAAAATATTTGTGTTTGTGTTCTACAGAAGAATGACATTGATACAGGTTTTAAATTACATCAGGGTGTGTAAATGACAGATTGAGTTTTTTTTTTTTTAAGTCACGCATATACCCTATTTAGAATATCCTCTGAAATGTATTTTTATCTGCATTTTTTATTCACTTTTATGTTACATACAGATATTTGAGAAAAGCCCAGTTATTAAAGAAACATTAGTGTGGAAGAGACTAAAACTTTATTTTTTTCTTTCTTAACAAAGTTATACGGATAGTTTTCCCCAAAATGGAAATTCAGTCATCATTTATGCTATTTCAGTCATACCTCAGACCTGCATGACTAACTTTCTTCTGTAGAACACAATGATATTTGGAAGATCAAAATATTTGTGTTTGTGTTCTACAGAAGAATGACATTGATACAGGTTTTAAACTACATCAGGGTGTGTAAATGACAGATTGAGTTTTTTTTTTTTTTGGTTAAGGTTAAAAAATTTAAAATTATGGATATAATTGATGAATAATGTACAAATTAAATTACTGTCCAATATTACTAAAATGCGGCCTAATAACTGGCAGGAGTGATCATTTTCGGTACTTTTATCAGAAAATGGAAGGTAAATAAAGTCCATTCCTATCATATGACTATGCAAATAGCTGTTAATCACGTAAACGTCTTTTTCAAGGTCTTTGCAAGTGAGGAAACAATCCTCAACCTCAGTCATTAAAGAGACAGATCACAGTTGATGGTAGCCATTGACTTGCAGCTTGTTTTTTTTTCTTGTCAATGGCTACCATCAACTGTTTGGTTACCAACATTCTTAAAAATATCTCCGTATTTGTTCAACAGCATAAAGAAACTCATACACGTTTGGAACAACTTGATGCCGACAGAATTTTTGAGTGAACTTTCCCTTTAATAAGTACTGCCAGACACTCAGCAGCTGATCTTGAGTAAGAATTACTGCTGAATGCACAACCGCATCTTTCAGAAACACAGAGGGACTTAAACGTGCATTATTGTGCCCGATGTGAAAAGAACAGTGCGGGATTATACTGCGATGACCTGATAACAGATTGTATTTGCCACAAGAATGCATGTGCTTGTTCAGCTCTTTGAGAAACAAGGCTAGCTAGCTATTTAGTTCAGAAGCTGGAATTGAATTTAAATAGTAGGCTACTAGTTCACATCATGGCTCTTTCTTTTAAGAGCTTTTTTCCTTCCTGATATTTAATAGCTTGTCAGCTTATTATTAACAAACAGGGCTATTTTGGTGTTCCAAAGCTGTTCGACAAGTTTGCACCGATATAAAGTTGGTTCGACGTTGGATATCAAGACAGTTAACGTTATTCAGCCGCCAAAAAAATCAATAAATTCTTAGTGGATGAGTATAATTGTATAAAAATGGCTTATCTGAAAAGCATTAGAACGTAGAACTGCACACACATCGCAGTATAAATAAATTCTTAGTGGATGAGTATAATTGTATAAAAATGGCTTATTTGAAAAGCATTAGAACGTAGAACTGCACACACATCGCAGTATATGTTTTACTCCTCCTCGATATGTTGCAACGCATAAAGTCTCTGGCAGCAGCGAGCTAGCGCTTAGGCCAGCTAGGGACCGTCTACAAAGTACACGTAAAGGATAAAACGATTAATATTGTTTCCCACCGGAATGTTTTTTACAATTAACAAAACGAGCAATTTGAGCACCAAGGTCTTTGAAAGATATAAAGACAAACACTTATAATTTACTTGAATTCTCACTTGAATTTAAATAATAAATATCGTAAACAAGATATGTGATAGTGGTTATTATTATATCATTACTATTAATAAACATAACAATAAAAGAAAAACAATATTAAAAATCATTATCATTCCATAATCCAGTGTTTATGCAGTAGGCTGATTCCAGGTCCTTGTGAGAACATTTTAATGTTCGTTGTTTTCACAGAAGTATGACACCAAAAAAGTACACACTATTGAAATTAAAACCAATAAATAAATTAATTTAAAATAAATACACTCTTCTGTATCAACCTCATGGTGTGTGTCTTGTTACTGTTTTTATAAGAACATTTTTATATTTGTTTTAGTCACAGAACTATAACAGAAAACATGCTATTGAAATTCAACAATTAAGATAAAGCTGGCAAAGTCTTGTTTTGCAGTTGTTTTGACTTGAATTTGAAAATTACATTAATAAATAAATTAATAACACAGACAGTTTTATTACACAACTTCAATGGGTGTGTCTTGTTACAGATTAGACAAATATTTTGATGGTGGTTTTAGCCACAGAACTATAACTGAACACATAAAAAATTAAACCAATACATAATTTAGTTTAAAATAAATAAAATTTTCTCAGCTTCAAATGATTTTGACAATGAAACCTTCCAAAGAGTCTCCAGTATTACTGCCCCCTAGAGGAAGATACTGCAGTTGTTTTGACTGAGTTTGACATTCAAACCTTTAATAAATCTCAACTTCAAAAGTAGTGTCTTGTTAATTGGGCCTATAGCATTTCTATGCAGGTTTTACTCTCATTTGTAAATAAGGATGCATGCTATTGAATTGAATTCAAATCTGTTAATAAATTCATTTAAAATGAATAGCCTTACAGTCTTCTATTTTAACTTCAAAAGGTGTGTCTTGTTTCTGATTCCTAAAGTAACATTTAAATTCAGGTTTTACTCTCATATGTAATTCAGGTTGATAAATTAATTTAAATGAATGCAGTTTTCCATCACAACTTCAAAAGCTGTGTCTTGTTACTGGTTTCTAGAAGAATATTTTATTAAATTGTTTATAAAGCTGATTAACCAATACATCAATTAGTTAGAAATTAAATTTTCAAGGTCATTTTCAAAGGGTCCGTTTTGTTTCTTTAAAAACACTTGAATGTTTTGTAAGAGAGATCACACAAAATGCATGTTATTTTTTAAGTACTGTCCTGAGTAAGATATTTTGCATCAAAAATGTTTACATATAGTCAAAAGTTATTTTGTCTATATGTTTACATATAGACAAAATAATAGCTGAATTATGTCAGAAGCTTCAGAAGAAACCCATGTTTCCTGGAGAGTTTTTCTGAAGAATAATGGACAATTTAACTGCTCAGGACAAATAAGGGACTCATGAACAACTATCCCAAAAAAATAAAAATAAAATAATAATGGAATTTTTAAATTAAATTCAATAGCGTATGTCCTGATTTACATATGAGAGTAAAGCCTGAATTTAAATGTTCATTTAGGAATCAGAAACAAGACACACCCTTTGAAGCTGAAATAGAAGACTGTATTGATTTTAATTATGTCCCCACTGGATGCAACGAATGCCTTGTTTATAATGGGTTTTCATGTTTTTGAATCATCGCTCCGGGCTGACAGGGCATCTTCACAGTATGGTAGGGGCGTAACATTTCCCGTTACACGCTTGAGGTATTCGGCCAATCATAACGCACTGGATAGCCTGAATTATGTCAGAAGCTTCAGAAGAAACCCATGTTTCCTGGAGAGTTTTTCTGAAGAATAATGGACAATTTAACTGCTCAGGACAAATAAGGGACTCATGAACAACTATCCCAAAAAAATAAAAATAAAATAATAATGGAATTTTTAAATTAAATTCAATAGCGTATGTCCTGATTTACATATGAGAGTAAAGCCTGAATTTAAATGTTCATTTAGGAATCAGAAACAAGACACACCCTTTGAAGCTGAAATAGAAGACTGTATTGATTTTAATTTAATTTATTAAAGGTTTAAATGTCAAACTCAGTCAAATCACTGCAGTATCGTCCTCTAGGGGGCAGTAATACTGGAGACTCTTTGGAAGGTTTCGTAAGCTATTCTTGTATAGCGTGACTTCTGCATCTCTTTTGACAATGAAAACAACTGGAAAATGTTCTTTGAGAAATCTGTAACAAGACAGTCTTTGAAGCTGAGGTAGCTGTATTTAGTTAGTTGTATTTAGGTAGTTGGTAGATTGTATTTATTTTAAACTAAATGATGTATTGGTTTCATTTGCCTCCTTTCCGTGAGCCTGCTCTGCTCTGATTAGTCAGATGGCCTAGTCTGTTGCGATTGGTCTACGGCGTACAGCGCGTGTCGGAAACGATACGCCCATTTCAACAGTTATGTATTTTGAACGCTCTATAGAAAGTATAAACATCTATTATTTATCATACTTACAGGTTGTGATTCAGTGGAGCAGCTGGTCCAAATAAACAGGATACTGATCAATCTTTCAACAGCAAGCGTTTTGTGAATCCCGCGTTGAACTCCCCGAGATTAGAGAAGCAGTCGTCAGTAGAATGATGTGTTTGTAGGCGGGGTCAAGTTCGCGGCCGGCCAACGGTGAATAATGTCAACATTGAAATGTTCTTTTAGGAACAAGTATCAAGACACACCCTTAGAAATTGAAATAGAAGAGTATGCCTACATTTATAGGAAATTAATTGATGTGTTTGTTTACATTTTAATATCATGTGTTGTCTTATAGTTCTGTGAATAAAACCAACATCTACCTGCTTGTTTAGGAACCACTAACAAGACACACCCTTTGAAGTTAATATAGAAGAGCATATTTACTTTACATTGATTGATGTATTCGTTAGCATTTCAATATCATGTGCTGTGTTATAGTTTTGTGAATAAAACCAACATTTAAATGTTCGTCTATGAACCAGTAACAAGACACACCCTTTGAAGTTGAGATGGAATACTGTATGTTTTAAAAATGAATGTGTTAACAGATTCAACTTTAATTCAATAGCGTGCATCCTGATTTTCATATGATAGTAAAAGATGGCTGTAAATATTGTACTTTGAACAAGTAACAAGACACACCCATTTAAGTTTACATATCAAACTGTGTGCATTCTAAATTAATTTATTTAAACTTCTGAATGTCAAACTTGGTCAAGACGAGTGCAATACCTTCCTCTGGGGGGCGGTAAACTGCACAATCTTTGTAATGCTTTGCAAGCTTTTTCTCAATTGTTCCATTTCAATAGCTTTTGTTGTGCTATAGTTCTGTGAATAAAACCAACATCTAAATGTTCTTTTATTAACCAGTAATAAGACACACCCTTAGATCTGAGATTTATTTTTTATACATTTCATAAGTGAAGCATTTAGATAGAATAATTGTGCTTTTTGCTCTTGGGTTTGCACTTTGCAGACGGTCCCTATCCTGCACTTTTACATTATAAGGTCCATCAGTTACAATACCGTAAGGCAGATTAAAACAAATAAAACACATTGTGTGTTCTCTTCTACATTTGAAAACAATTATAACACATTATGTTTCTTGTCCTTGTGCTAAATCATTAAAGACCTATTGAAGATTTCCGAGGCTGAATCTCTGACAAATGTCAAACGTCAAATGTCGAACCAACTTTATATCGGTCAAGTTTGCGCAGTGACAGCAATCAAGTTTAAGCATGTCAACAGTCTGTAGTGTTCAACTTGCTAAGCACGTGCCGCTTAAGTCTCTCAGTATAAATGTCACGTATCGAGAGGAAAAAAAATGGATTTACCATGCAAAAGACAACAAATCCCGATCGAGGAACAGCCGAAGTCCTTTGGATACCGCTGGTACAAGCAATCCGGTTTGTTCTCTTGCATAATGATTTCACAAAACTAGAAGTTACATGGCCGGTGAAGTGCAGGCAACTGTACGCATTTTATAGGAGGATCATCTCGTCAGGTGTCCAGCAGGTTCATCTCACTCGCATCATAATCTGTCGGACAGTTTGAATAGTCCGGCCATTTCCCAAAGCGGCCGTGTGTTGCGCTTGATGCTGATTGAGTGACGCTCGTATCCGGATACCGGGGCTTCCAATCAAGAGCGATCAACGGGTCTCATCATAAGAGGATTGGAAACCTAATAAACGTAAATGCTGTTTCTGGCTCTTGGTAGTTTGTTATGGACTACAGACATACAAGTAATGTCATGGTGGCGTTTTCGATTGTTTAAATTCATCTTCGAAAAAATAAAAAAATTAATGTTTGTTTACAAAACCTCGAAACTGTACGTCTACATGTAGGCTAAAACCTGTAATGCACTAATTTAAGCCTTTACCAATACATATAAAACAACACTTAAAAAAATATATTGAATATATATTTTAACTGAAAATAGTATTAAAGATGTAAAATCTTGAACCCCCTGAAAATCTGCAATCTGAGGGTGTAAAAAAAAATCGAAATACTGAGAAAATCGCCTTTAAAGTTGTCCAAATTAAGTCCGTAGCAATGCATATTACTAATCAAAAATTAAGTTTTGATATATTTACGGTAGGAAATTTACAAAATATCTTCATGATCTTTACTTAATAGCCTAATGATTTTTGGCATAGAAGAAAAATCTCTAATTTTGACCCATACAATGTATTGTTTGCTATTATACCCGTGCTATACTTATGACTGGTTTTGTGGTCCAGGGTCACATATACAAAAATCATAATAATAGGTGGTGGAAGTCATACAGATACATTTGGGGGTAAAATGTAACACCGGCCCTGCGTCCCAATGTGCATACTATCCACCCTATCTGCCCTAAATAGTATTGAAAATGACTAATATCACATATAAGTTAGGATGGATAGTATGCACATTGGGACGCAGGCTAATTATCTGACGGTGAACTTCCTTCAAAAACCTCTAGATGTCGCTGGTCTCTATGTTATGTGTTTTCTATAGGCTATATGGGGGAAAGTGTAGCGTAGTACTGTTACATTACCTACTTTTGTTTTTTATTAGTAATCTATTTCATACCAGACTTAATTGTTCATAAAACAATTGCCAATGAATTCACCAACTGTTAGTAGTTAAAAGTATTTTATTCAGCATAAGGTGGAAAATATAAATCCAGTTCACTCTTTTCAAATTAGGCAATAATATATAGGCTAGGGCTATTATACCAAGTCAATCAAACCTTATTACTATTTCATACATATAATTCAAGCATAACAGCCTGTTGCTAACAATAATATAAAGTACAGCGCAAATAAAGGGCAACTGTTTTATTTCAAGAAACTTTAACTGAAACGAATAGACCTCACGGACTAAAATAAAATGATTTTAAAATGTGACACTTTTAAAGTGTCAAAGTTTCATTTTCCCTTTCAATTGCTGATGCCTGCTGTATTTTATCATTCTTCATATCAGCAGGTTTCTTTGTGCGTCAGACAGAAACATGGAAAATATTTGACGCCTGTGTATCTGAGTGGTCTTTGAGGTCCACATATGCATGTATGCCACTCAAACCACTGACCCAAATTCAGCCTCGGTCTCCCTCCATCTTCAAATTAACTAGATTTACAGCCTCGTGTTTATACATTAAAACCCATAGAGGTAGAATGTTGTAATACGTTTGCCTTACTGTCTTTTCATGCCATTGTATTAGCTACAATAACAAACTCAATTTAATTAAACTAAACAAGAAACAAATTTAAGACAAATTTGAGGACAATAGGGTTGTCTTTAAAAAAACATTGTTTTCAATACAAACATTGAAACATTTAAAAAAAATATTTGTTGTGCTATTTGCTTTAAGAAATACATATGCACACACACACATATAGTATATGTTTGCATGATTAAACTGATGTTTTATCTATGCACAACGAATCAAAAGGCGGAACTCACATTGACAGTTACATATGCCTCACCCACAAGCACCACCACACATGTGGCCAGCATGAAGGTTTCTATCACTTCACTCAGTAAGTGATTTCTTCTCATATTTCTGGTTTAAATATATTTCATCTGTAGTGTAAATATTGGTTTCTGAATAACTGTACATGTGCATTTCTTAATCACTCAATATAAGGACTGCATTTTTTTTTTACACCCGTCATTTTTCTCGGAGTAACCCATAATTTCTGGTCGAATGTAGTTGCACTGAGTTGCATTTACTGGAAAGTCTCTGGAACGCTGGTGGAGGTGGTGGTCAGGCCTGGAGATAATGCAACTCTTCCCTGTGACAGTGAGATTGTCATTGGACAGGAGATTCATTGGGTTAAGATCTGCTCTTCACAGATCCAACCGCCTCTGATCATCCCTACATACAATAGCCTATTACAACCCATTCCACGATTCTCTGTGTTCTGGAACAATGCTTCAAAATCCTATGACTTAGTGATCGAGAACATCACTGGAGCAGACCTTGGTCTCTACTATTGCTCAAGGGTTGGGAAAAAATATATCAAACAGAACGGAATAATCTTCGAGAAGGATGTGTATCACACTGGTGATACTCTCATAAAGCTCACATAAGGTTCACCTGGTAAGCTTGTTTCACACTGCAAACAATGTAAAACAAAGAGCAATGAATAATCTGCTGAAGCAAAACATGAATGTACTAAAAGAAGATTTATAGTCCTAAAACACTTTAAAAATTAGAGACGTTTAAAACTCTTACATACATTTGTTTACTTTTTGATTTTTTTTTTTTGCCAACAAAGTGGGTATTATCATTTCCATCTCTTGCACTTCTGAGATCTATATACTGTAGCTCTGCATTCAGTAGACCATGGTGCTAGCAACACTAAAATCATGGGTTTGATTCCCAGGGAATGCATGAACTGATCAAATGTATACCTTAAATGCACACTGTATATAAAAACCTTGACAGCTGTGGTTGGCAGAAAAAAAGTTTGAAATGGTAATTTACAAAACAAACAAACAAACAATCAAACAAACAAATAAATAAATAAAGAATACTAACATAAAATAAAATTTAAAAATGAAACTGTAAATCCAATAGCCCTGTTCTTCTAAACTAGCAAGTCCATGCTGCTATACGAAAATGTAACATATACTGACAGCCACCATAATAAAGCTGGTGGTAAAGAGAAAGACACATGATGAATTCAAATCCATCACAAATAGCTTTACCACAAGCTGAGGTAAATACTAATATATTAAAGGTGCACACAGTTGTATGCACGTAAATACAAAAAACACCATCATAGTAACACATTAAACCCTAATACACATGACTGATACCAAAAACTATAAACTATAAAAATGTGAGTTGTCACACAGGAAATTGTAGGAATGTCAGTTTATGGTTTTTCACTGTAAATTATAAGATGACTTATTCTTTTTTATTAAGGAAAACTGTACATTTAACAGAACTTTACCATAAAATATTATGAAATGTCCTGTTAGATGTATTAGGCTATAGTTTTTCCCTGTATATAGAAAGGGAATAGGTTTTTACTGTAGCATTTTTACAGTCTTTTACAGCTAAAATTAATGTTATTTTTAATTTATCAGCACAGCACAGTCTGCAACCACAAAACAAAAACAAACAAACCCTACAATTAATATACGAGTACAATGTATTAGTCTTGATTTCCTGCTAATATTTATGATAATTTGCGTGCATTTCATGCAATGTAAAAATTATCATATTTGAAACTTTTTTTACATTTTCTTCTAACAATTCTACCAGTCTTTTATAGTTAAAATTACAAAAAAAATGTTTTACAGTGCATTGTAAATATCTTTGGATAAAAGTGTTTGTAAAATGCAGAAGTGTATGCACTAAATTTAATTTAAATACGTTTTTTACAAAAAAGTTTTTAAAATGTTTTTTTAAAAGTTTTAATTTGAGCAGCATTGAGGTAATTGAGCACTGAGATGAACTTCAATGTTTAGTAGAACACAATATTATAAAATAGAATTAATTCTATATATCTGATATGACTATCTACCTATATTATACAGATATTCACATTAACAAGACAGTGTAGGTACACCTACAAAGAGCCACTTGGTGTGTTTTCTCAGAAATGCTTTTAGAAGAATGATTCATTACACATCAGAAATAAAAAAGGTACAAAAGATTTCACTGAGGTGGTATCTTTTCAAAAGGCGCCTTTGTACATATTTCTACCAAAAGTGTAAATATTAGTATCTAAAATAAACAAAAGTGTACGTTTTGAAAAGGTACCACCCAAGTGACAGCATTTTCTGAGAGTGTAGGACGAGGCAACCAAAATAAATAGATTTAAAATAAATGTAGGTCATGTCCTGTTTCAAATAGAATTTGCACAGGAAACAAATCACTGTTCTGAAATGGATTATAAAGACGTCAAACACTAAAATGGCAAATGGAGGTTAGGGATTCTGTGACAGCAAACCCTCTGCATTGAGTGTGTATACAGTGTATATACTGTAGCTGTAGCTGTAGCTCTAGCACAGTCAATACAACTAAAGAACAACTTCATATAAACAAACTAATTCATTAAAATGAAAGGTATGGTCCTTAATTAGCATTTATTCATCCGTCTTCCCCTCAGAAAGCCCCCCTGAACTAGTTTGTGACTGCTGGCAGTGCTGGCTGATACTGCAAACACTGAGTCCTGCATGTTCTCTTCTCTCTGCCATTTTGGCTTTTGTTTGTGGCTACAGATGCTGCCACAAGACAGGTGAGATTTATATATACAATTTAACAATTGACTATCTAGTCTACTAGATATAATACAGTTTATGTTTCCTGTAGCTCTATGTTTGAGGGAGTCATTTTGAAGAACTGTCATAAGAGATAAGCCTCTGATTCTGCCATTCACAGTGCTGAAGGAGTCTGAAGGTCATCAAAGCAGTTCTGAGATGCGAAGACAGTTGAGCCAAGAACAGGTAAACTCAGCAGCCCACAAATA